GCAGCAGCAGCAGCAGCAGCAGCAGCAGAAGGAGAAGGAGATGCAGCAGCTGCAGCAGCAGCAGCAGAAGGGGAAGCTGCAGCGACAGAGGGAGCTGCTACGGAACAACAGGATAACCAACAGCAGCAGCAGCAGCAGCAGCAGCAGCAGTAGTAGTAGTAGTGGACGATTATTGTTGTGAGTGGGTTAAATATGCTGCAGCAGAAACAGCAGCAGCAGCAGCAGCTGCTGCTGCTGCTGCTGCTGCTGCAAAAATAGCAGCAGCAGCAGCAGCAGCAACGGCAGCAGCGGCAGCAGCAGCAGCAGCAGCAGCAGCAAAAGGGCGAAGGGATAAGAGCACGCTGATATAGCAGCAACAGAGAAATAGTAGAGAAAGACAAATTATTTATTTTATTTTCCTCAGGCTTTACGCCGAGGGTTTAGGGTTTAGGGTTTAGGGTTTAGGGTTTAGGGTTTACAGCGACATGCATTTATTTTATTTTGATATTTTTGTTTTGTTTTTGTTTTAACGAAATATTTAAATGCACAGCAGCAAAAGACAAATAAATAAAAAAAGAAATCATATTAATATATTATAATAGTATTAATATAATATAATAATAATAATATAATATAATTATAATATAATAATAATATAATAATATAATAATATAATAATAATAATAATAAGGTATTGAGGTGTACAGACAGAAAAAACCGGTTGGGGTGTACAGACAGCTTTCCGTCTATGCATATATTTGTTACGGCGTCAACATCTGACTCTTTACATTCGGGTGCAGCTAGCTAGCTAGCTAGCTAGCTGGCTAGCTAGCTAGCTGGCTAGCTAGCTAGCTAGCTAGCTGAGTAACACCCCTAGCTAACCACAGCTCGCTGCAGCGAAGGTGACAGCTAGCTGGCTGGGTTAGCTAGCTAGCTAGCTAGCTAGCTAGCTGGGTAGGCGGGTGCAGCAGCTAGCTAGCTAGCTAGCTAGCCATTCGGCAGCTGCAGCTAGCCGCAACATAAGCAGAAATATATGAAAAAGTAGCAGCAAATACAGCTGCATGTGTTGCAGCAACAGCTAGCTAGCTAGCTATACAGCAGCAGCACAGCTAGCTGCTCCTGCTGTAGCTAGCTGCTTCGCAGCTGCAGCTGCTGCAGCTAGCTAA